CCCCCAGCCCCGCTCCCCCGGCCCCGGCGCGCCACCGCAGGCGGGAGTGAAGAAGGCCGGGGCTGCCGGAGCAGCAGCACTCCCAGCCCTGGGGACGGGACGGGGAGGCTCAAAAACCTGGGGGGGAAAAAATGGATTAAGGGCGGAAGAAAAGCCGGCCTTTCTGGTTGCGAAGCGCGAGGGAGCGGGCCCGAGGCGTGCTCTTCTGGAAAACCGACAAATATGGGGCTGTCCTGAGTGTGACCTCGCAGAGGGAGCCCCTGCCTGTCCCACAGCCTGGCTGCCTCCCGAAAAAACTGATTTTAGGGGGTTTTTTGTTTGCTTGCTTGTTTGTTTTTTGGTTTTTTTTAAATGAGCGCTGGCCCTGCCGTGTATTCGACGTGTCCGCGGAGGTTTGCGCCTATGTACATACACGCACACGTCAATTGCGCAACGTTTCACGGCATAGATGCGTGCCTGTCTCCAGATAATGAAATGTTCATTCACGTAAAAAAGGAACATCTAAGCCCCAGACCCATTAAAGTCCCGGCTATTTTGTTTTGTAAATTCGTTTTACGAGCCCTTATCCCTGCGCCCAGGACGGATGTGCAGTAAAACGGAGCCGCTCTCTAATAACGTGATTGGCCGCTCGCTGAGAAAAGTTTATTGATAGCTGCAGGGCTCTAATCTCGTCGAAACACAAGAGGCTCTTGCAGTCATTTAAGGGCAATTATCTAAACGGGGAGAGACAGCGAATTCCCTTTCCTTTTAACTGGACCCAATAAAGATGGTAGATTAGGAGCGCATAGATTATGAAATGAATTGATATAATAGACATTTTATTAACTGATAAGCAACGGGATCTGATGGAAATGAATTGTCCTGCACGCAGCTACACACACGCACGTATCTCACACACGCGTGAGTGTACACCCTTGCCGTGTGCTTACTGCAGACACCGTCCTGCGCGTACACACACATACCTACCTCGCCCACGTTGTGCTATGCTCGTGTACGATCCCTCGAGGCGAAGACGGTTTGTGGGCGACTTCCAGGCTACCCCCGTGCGCTCCTACAGATTCGGGTGAGCGCACACTGCCCAGACCTCGTTCGCCGACGGTACAGCTCGCACGGATCCATTCCGTTCCCCTCCCGATTCGTGCCGCCCGGCTGAGCGCTCCTGCGAGGCGGGCAGCACCGGTGCCGCCGCCCGGCCCGGCCCGGCTCC